CAAAGTTTATGATATCTGTAAAAAGGCTGTAAAATGAGTTAAAAAATTTGCGGTGACATTAAGAAAAATTGTTTTGGTCACGTGAAAGATTTTGGTGAACGGGTGGAAGTTTGTGGTGACCGTGGGAAATTGATAGTGACCGTGGGAAAGTTCATAGTGACGGTGGGAAAGTTGATAGTGACCATGGGAAAGGAGATAGTGACAGTGGGAAATTTATACTGACCACGGGAAAGGAGATAGTGACCGTGGGAAATTGATAGTGACCGTGGGAAAATAGATAAGGACCGTGGGAAAGTGAATAAACCCGTGGGAAAGTGGATAATGACCGTGGGAAAATAGATAAGGACCGTGGGAAAGTGGATAATGACCGTGGGAAAGTTGATAGTGACCGTGGGAAAGTTGATAATGACCGTGGGAAAGTGGATAATGACCGTGGGAAAGTGGATAATGACCGTGGGAAAGTTGATAATGACCGTGGGAAAGTTGATAGTGACCGTGGGAAAGTTGACAGCTGGTGGTCACCTTTGACAAGGAACTGCGGGCGAGTGTGGAGGTACGGGAAGGTTGCTGCTTGTGGGAGGAAACGGAGCACTTTCTGACGGATGTCAACACCGTGGGAAGAAAAGCGAGACTGTGGAACGATTTGGCAGTGAAGATGCCACCTCCTTAACGGTCCTTCTGAAGGCGATGCTGTAGTTAAATTTTGTCTATTATTTTATTCCTGACTGTTACCTAGTTCTGATAGTCGTACGAAGTATTAGGTTCCACTTATAACACCAGGTGATTAGGCTCTCTAAATTAAATTTGGTGATTAGGCTCTCTAAATTACATTTGGTGATTAGGCTCTCTAAATTACATTTGGTGATTAGGCTCTCTAAATTACATTTGGTGATTAGGCTCTCTAAATTACATTTGGTGATTAGGCTCTCTAAATTACATTTGGTGATTAGGCTCTCTAAATTACATTTGGTGATTAGACTCTCTAAATTACATTTGGTGATTAGGCTGCACAAATTACACCAAGTGATAACGTTCCACTAATTACAGCAGGAGATTACGCACCATTAATTACACCAAGTGATTAGGCTTCCCTAGTTACAGCAGGTAATTATACGTGGTGTGGAGCACGAGCACTGAGCCACAAGTTGACCGGCACTAATGCCAACTGGCCGTTGCAAGACCAGTGGGGGGGGGGGGATTGAATTGCAATTATGACGCCGACGAAATGGCATTCAGATCTGTCTGCTTTTTACAATGAATACGCAAAATACGACCCATGTTTTGTGTTCCAAGTCGCAGATAACAGGCTTAAGCGAAATGTGGGGGGAAAGGTGTTATTGAAGATGTATGCAAATGAGCTCTGGGAGTATGCAAACTCCCCCTATCAGGCTGTGGGAGTGTGTGGGAGTAGGCTGCGTCAGACACGTGGGTTCTGGGAGGTTCTGCCCTATTAAACAGCTCCCACCGACTCTAGTTGCTAATTCCAAATAGTTGCAGAGTTTAACTTACGCAAATCAGATATTGCAGGAGTTGAGCTAGTCCCTAAGTATCAGTGCGTGAAGGTACTGTGTAGACGCACGTCGGACGCATGGAAGCGCCTTCACATATAATTGTACTAAACAGCAGGTGCTGGTAAGACACGATGCTTCACGCTACGCAGGATACACACGCCGCCACGGACTAGGAGGAGGAGAGTATTAGCATAAGTCAAGAGCAGCGCATGTTCTTGTCATCATAACACACACACACATCCAGCTCCAGGTGGTTCTTCTATACTCTTACACTCCGCCACGGCCACCACAGCAGGAGAAGCAAGAGCAGGAGCAGGAGGAGCAGGAAGAGCAGGAGGACGAGGACGAGGACAAGGACGAGGAGGGTACGCAGAGGAGAGCCTGCCTCATAGCTCAAATATAGGAGCCGTGCTGTCACCAGCTCCGAGATAATATATTGGACAGCTAAGTCTCCCGTCATGCAAAGTGGTCGTAAACCCTTCACAGGCTCCTCTTATGTGTCACTTATACCTTCCCGCTCCTCTTATGTGTCACTTATACCTTCCCACTTCTCTTATGTGTCACTTATACCTTCCTGCTCCTCTTATGTGTCACTTATCTCGTCTCCTCTCCTCTTACCCATAACATACACCTTCACCGTTCCTCTTATATGTGTCTCTTAAACTTTCTTTTATGTATCACTCATATTTTCTCCACTTCTCTTATGTATAGCTTAAGTCTTATCCCTAAAAATCCCAATACTTACCTGTATTCCTACAGTCAATGGTACACAATCGAACAGTTTATGTATACCTTGAACTATATCAAGTATCCAATGTATACCTTGAAATTGTATTAAATGTCCTATGCATACCTTGAATTATAACAAGTGTACATCTCCTCCTCCTCCTCCTCCAAGCGAAAGCTTCATGCTTCAATGATTCACCGAAATTGAATTGTCAAGGTACATCAAGATGGGAGCAGCATCAGACGCGCCGCTGTGGGTCCGCATCTAGAGTCGCACAAGGCTTCCGATCACATCGAAGACGAAAACCCATCAGAACGACCTGTCCCTTTCCCTTCTCTGCGATTGTGTCGTCTAGTCAGGAAGAGTCTTCACAGATCCCCTGGAGGCAAAACTAAGGCTATATCACAGCGGAATTTGCAGACATGGCGTGTCTTGGGGGATACCAACCCACGACGCGGCCTGATTTGTCGCACTTTACACTACTACTGCGAATTTCCCCGGGGAAACCATCGCCGTCTATTACCGCATCTGTGAGGATTAAGCGTGGCACATGATCACACGAATGATGACTATTGCAAGGCACTATACCCTTCACATCACAGGAATACTGTGAAGCACTATGCCCTTCAAGATCATTCGAATGTTGCAAGACACTATATCCTCCATGATTACATGAATACTGTGGAGCACTATACCCTCCAAGATCACACGAATGACTATTGCAAGGCACTATATCCTCCATGATCACACGAATACTGCGGAGCACTATACCCTCCAAGATCACAAATAATCCAGAACACCAATACCCTCCAAGATCACACGCATCATAATACTTAAAAATAACTCTTACAAAAATATATCAGTCATATAAATACAATTATTTTGTTGACAAAGTTACAGACACAGTCGGCGGCGTGGCGCTCAAAGTTGGGCCATATTTTACGTCACATTAATAAATATTTTCCGTGTTTTCTGAACTTAGGTTTCAAAGTTTGAGTGTCGGGAGGGACTCACAAAACCCTTCTTTGTGTTTTGTATTGTTCTTCTTCGTGTTCTGTATCGTCTTTTTTATCTTAACGTCTTAATTATCTGCTGACTTTTCTTCGTCATTATTACCTTCTGTTGCTTATCTCTTTATTCTCTCTCTCTCTCTTGCTTTCCCTTCCTGATACTTGTTTCTCTTCCTTGACTGGGATGAACAATCACTAGTTATAAGAACAATCACCAGTTATATTAACAATCACACAAAGTACGTTCCAGCAAGTCTTCGCTATTCCTATTCAACGACATTCCGAGGAAAAAAATCATGAAAATCGTTCTCTGGAATAGGAATACAAAATCTGCCTCTGGAATGTGAATTATAAATCTACCTCCGGAATAAGAATTACAGATCTGTCACTATACTGGAAATGACAAACCCGTTCGAGGTACAGGAAAACAGATTTGTTCTTAGAGACAAGGAATAATAATAATAAAGTTGTGGTTCTGGTATGTTCACGGTGAGTCCTCCTCGGTCACTCAATTTGCTAATCTTTAGAATGTCAGTGATATACAGTGATACTTGTCAGTGATAAGACCACAACAGGTAAATGGATCAGATGTGGTGCCAAGAAGTGAAGCTTTTTCACTATACGGTGTAAAGTACAACCCTTTCACATCAATATATCATTAAGGGTTAATAGCTTATAAGGATTACTCTGCCGTATCATAATAAAATAAATGACAGAAGAATCATCTTTCACCTCTCAGATCAGGGGGCGTAAGGTATAATTTACAGACTCCACCCGGCCTATAGCATACTATTCTCCCGGTGAAAGAGGCGGCGAGGGATCCCTATTCCAGGGACTTATCATCTTGCATTCCAGATTTGGAATTATCATTCCCATTTCTGAGGCAGGGATTTATACCGTTCCCGTTCCAGAGGAAGTCTTCACTGCTATTAAAAGAGACATATATCCATTCCACGTGTGTGTGTGTACTCACCTAGTTGTGCCTGCAGGATCGAGCATTGACTCTTGGATCCCGCCTTTCGAGCATCGGTTGTTTACAGCAATGACTCCTGTCCCATTTCCCTATCATACCTGGTTTTAAAATTATGAATAGCATTTGCTTCCACAACTTTGTGTGTGTGTGTGTATATTATAATATATATATATATATATATATATATATATTGTTGGAACTCAAAACTGATGGTTATGGAACCCCACTGATTGTTTCTGACCCCCACCCATTAATCACTCCTAATCGGCTAACTGAACCCAATACATAGAGTTCCCCCTCAACAAATCTGCAAAGGTCTGCTTTAATGTAGACAAAGCTACCGTCCTATTTGTGTGTGTGTGTGTGTGTGTGTGTGTGTGTGTGTGTGTGTGTGTGTGTGTGTGTGTGTGTGTGTGTGTGTGTGTGTGTGTGTGTACTCACCAAGTTGTGCTTGCGGGGGTTGAGCTCTGGCTCTTTGGTCCCGCCTCTCAACCGTCAATCAACAGGTGTACAGGTTCCTGAGCTTATTGGGCTCTATCATAAGGCCTGTAGGACTAGGTATGAACTCCAGGCTGGAGCTGCATACTCCAGGATTGGTCTTACATAAGTGGTATACAGGGTTCTGAAAGATTCCTTACACAAGTTTCTAAAGGCAGTTCTTATGTTGGCCAGTCTAGCATATGCCGCTGATGATATTCTTTTGATCTAGGCCTCTGGGGACAGGTTCGGTGTGATATCAACCCCCAGGTCTTTCTCTCTATTTGACTCTTGCAGGATTT